GTAGGTAGGTAAGGTAAGGTAAGGTAAGTAACGGAGGACGGTAGAGGAAGGAGGTACGGACGGTAGGTACGTACGTAGAGTAGAGTAGTAGTAGTAGTAGAGAGAGAGAGAGAGAGAGAGAGAGAGAGAGAGAGAGAGAGGGAGAGGGAGTGCACAGAGCGTGACGAGTGAGAGAGAGAGAAGCAGTTCAGAGAGCGTGAAGAGTGATCAATGCAGCGCCGGGCACACGTGGGTTGATTTTGTAAATGGAATGTATAAAGCCAGCGCTGTTTCCTCGATCGCTCAGAGGCTAAAAGAGAGAGAAAGAGGAAGAGAGAGAGAGAGAGAGGGGAGAATCTCTTACATGTGTCTGAACTAGGTCATGGAATGAATGAAGCTGGCGTTGTTTCCTCGATCTGTTTAAACTTCAAACTTCAATGGCCTCCCTGCAACAATTGACGCATAAAATCAAAGTTCAAGAGAGAACCAGAACGAGAATCGTTGCCATTAACGCTTGCCCCCCCTCTCTCTCTCTCTTCCCCTTCAACTTCCTCAACTGTGTTCGTTCGGTCCCCTCCCCTCCCTTCTCTCTTCAGCAACGGCTTCGCTCTCTTTCTCTCTCTAACCCTGCGTACTAATTGACAAATCTTAGAGAGAGAGTCGTTGCTTGTGTTATAAGAGAGTGACGGGCAGGCAGAGTTTGGGTCCCGCAGCCGAACTTTTTAATTAATCGCTTCAACTCTCTTTCGGAATTGTTAATTTGGAACTACACTCATCGGGGGGAAGTATATGGACCCGGTTTCTATGCGGCCAGCCCGCATATTGTGGAAATGCGGCTTGGCAATAGGAGGGATTTCATACTACAGTTGTATAGTAATATAATGCAACAACTTTTAAAAGCTATGTTAAACCCATTTGTTTAACCTCAATTTTTAAATATACATTGTTTCAATTTAATGAACAATCACAAAAAAGAAAAATTTAAAAATACACCCCCAAAATATGTTTTTTTAGCACAACTAATGTAATTCGTCTGTTTTAATGAGATGCTTAGATCAAGACTTAAAAGTATTTTTTTTGTTTCTAAAATTTTTATATTGCTTTAGTATCATTAGATTAACAATGCTAAACAATAACAAATTGATTTTGAATTTGTAAAGGTCTACATCTTGAAATTCACCAAATAGATGGTCAAGATTTATTGTTAGAGGGCGCTCATTTTGCTCATTTTGACTATAGCTAGAGTTTTATTTTTTTGGTATCGATTATTGGGATGAAGGGAGTGCGTGTGCAAAATTTGAGGTCATACAAATGCATTAAATATAGTTTTCTAGAAGTGTGGTTGCATTATATTACTATATCATTACATGAAATCATTCCCCTATCTTTTAAATATAATTTTATCTTAATTTTTAGCGAATATATAATCTTTAATATGGAATTCATGAATATGAAAAAAAAAATGAAAACTAGAAATAATAATTATATTAAGAAAACATTTGGACTATTAGTTACATTTGTTTTTAGATAGATAACTTATCTACATCCATCTTTAAGATGGATGCTTTAGACCTATGGACTGCATATGGTAGGATCGCATTTCTACATATGAAGTCTAGAAAGTGTTAAAGCATCTATTTTAAAGATGGAGGTAAGTAGCTGTTTCATCTAAAAACAATAGAAACTAACAATCCAAATGTTTTCTTACTAGAATTATTATTTTTATTTTTAAAATTTATTTATTTTTTCATATTCATGATCACATGTCTTTAAAAATTAAATCTTAAAATCCCTCTCAAATATAGATTTATTAAGAAGCCCGCATTTCTACATACGTGGGCTTCGCTGCATAAAAACCGGGTCCATAAAAAAATGGATAATACACTATGAGAATATTTACATTGGACACATGTTTTATGAGTACCCGGACTCATACATAAAAATGCGGACCTTCTTAATAATCTATGGATTGTACACTATGAAAATATTTACTTTGGACACAATTTTTATGAATACCCGGATTCATACATAGAAATGCAGTCATTCTTAATAATCTATTTTATAAATAAATTTTGACTTTGATTTTTAAGAAATGTACAAGCGGATATGGAGATCATTAATATGTAAAAAAAAATTAAAAAATGATATTTTTAGAAGGAAATATTGGAGTGGTGTTGGCAATTGGCTTGGAGGCACAACCCAGTTTGGTCGATCTGATCCTAAAAAAGTAGGGCTTCACCGACAAACTGTGAATCGAGGGACAGGTTAGGGACAGTGTCATGCCTGCCCTGCCCTCTTTTTTTCATGATTTTGTTTTGTATTTTTGCTTAGCCCAACCCTAACATGGTTAGGGCCGGGCTTGGGTTGGCCCTAAGAGACAAGGGCTAGGCTAAGGCCAAGTCTAGCCTCGCCCATTGCCACATTTATATTTAAGCTATTGATTTACCTTTTTCTTGGAAGGGCCATCACGTATATCTATATTTAGATAGATAATTTATACCTGAGGTGACGCAAATACACTATCCCTAGCATATAAACAAGTTTTCCATTTATTTTAGATAGATAATTTATACCTCAGGTGACGCAAATACACTACCCCTAGCATATAAACAAGTTTTCCATTTATTTTAGATAGATAATTTATACCTCAGGTGACGCAAATACACTATCCCTAGCATATAAACAAGTTTTCCATTTATTTTTGTTACAAAGACAAAAATCATTCTTAGTCATTAGATGTGATATTTAATGGATTGAAGTGTGTTGTAACCTTGGAGAAAAATTATTTTAAACATTATGTTTAGTCAATGACGCATCCCCAACCAGTTGATTCCACATCAGTTAATAATAATTGTGATCTCCATGTATCAAAAGTATATGATTTTATGGTATATATTTTTATAAAAGAAAATTCTTTAATATAGGCTAGGCCGCATTTCTACAATATGCAGTCCAGAGGTATAAAGCATCCATTTTAAAGATGAATGCAAATATGTAGTTCATCTAAAAATAATTATAACTAACGGTCCACATGTTTTCTTAATATAATTATTATTTCTAGTTTTCATTTTTTTATTTTTATTTTATATTCATGATCTCCATATTAAAGATTATATATTCTCTAAAAAGTAAAATCAAATTATATTTTAAAAAAATATTTATTGCCAAGCCTGCATTTCTACAATATGTGAGTTGGCTGCATAGAAACCGTGTCCTTTTATAAAAATATATGCCATAAGGCACTCGAGTTTACCTTTGTTACAAGCACGTCACATTTACCGCCAGAGGATTTGAGATTTGATTGTTGGGGTTGTGCTGTTAACATGCTCAATGCCTAGAATAATTTTTCTTGGACTTTCACATGCATCCTAGCTATCTGATTTTACATCTGATGGCTAAAAGTGATATTGACCTTCTTATATCAATATTTAATGTTTCTTATGATATAAATTTACAAAAATATAATTTAAATAGTAATTTTAGCTATTTATGTAAAGATATGAGAAATTAAACATGACATACTTGATGGATCCAAACATCAAACAACACATCTCAAATGTTCGTGGCTAATTATGGATTGTTCAGGATCTACTCTCCGCCCAAACAGTATGTCGAATACCATCATACTACACAATCCCAAATTAATTTGTGTTTTAAATCTTCTTATTTATTCCCTAATGTGTTGTGTATAAACATTTATTTGTTATGCAGCCACTACCTGATCATTACTAGAACCAGAGACTCTGTTAAATCAATATTACGAGGAACTGAATTTCAATTAAAGGGATTTCATACTCTGATACTATTTATTTTTTGTTAGGTCATAATTACTATTGTCATAAGATGTCAAATTGGATGGCTTGGGTGTGTTATAAAGTTGAAATTCTTTATTTTTTATTTTTTATTTTGAGTTAGGTCAATGACACACTCACAGCTGCTGGATTTGAAATCTAACAGCCAAGAGTGATTGTGACCTTCTAGTATGTTATAGTATGAAAAGTAAATGGTCTGTTTACATATTTTTCCTTAATCGTAAGCAGTCTAAATTAAACTTGATATCTTGTTTTCTAAAATGAACTGAAACAGTAAATTCCAAACTTAAACAGTAAATCTAGACTGAGCACTGAATCAAGGAGTTGGTTTTGGTTATGTTCCACAAGAAATGATCATCACAAAGACTTAGTTTTTTGTGTTGACATACAGGTCATGATCTTGATTGGTTATTAGTAATTTTGAAGCGCAATCCAAAAGTTTATGCTTGAATTTTCTAGCCCTAAGCTTAGGCATTAAGCATACCTGCTTCACATGTGGAACCCACTTTGAACGGAGTGAAAATTTTCTAATAGAGAACTTGAAAAAGGGGTTGACATAAATACAATTAGAGTAATTGGTTTCAAAAGCTGAGGGGTGAGGTTTGTATAAGGTGTCAACCTTATACTATTGAAGTAAGTACCGTCAAAACAATGTCAAAAATGCAGTTACGGTGCCGCAAAGCCTTGGAATGATATGACAATCTATTGTTGTCCCTAATTATAAAATCTAAAATTCTAGAAATGGTGATGATCGAGCAGATCTATGTACATTTAAAAACTTTAAAAATTGACGGTCTAGATAATGTGTTAGAAGATAAACTAGTTTTAGGATTAAAAATCCCTTTTTTTTTTCATATCTATGAATCTCGAGGTCGAGATGATCGATTTGAGAGTTTTGCAGCATAGGAACAACCTCCTATAGTGGATTTTTTAGGTGCCCTTACTCGTACAGTATACGGTTGAACCATTTATAAACTTTTTCCAAAACTGAGAATGCCACCCAAGATGGCTTTAATGAAGAAATCCGTGTGTGGTTTCGAGTGATTAAATTCACAGGTTTCACCAATTCATGAAAGAACCTTGAAAGCGCACGCTCTTAATTTTGGGCATTGTATACTGTTATTCCTCGAGAGTGTAGTTTACTTCTGCTGCCTCAGCTAGGAGATTTAGGAGATTTATTAAGAAGGATTTTTTCGATTTGAAATTTTGGGAACCGAATTATTAGATAATTATTTTCAAAATAAAAATTTTGAAATTTGAGTTTTTTAATACTTAAATCTCATAATCTAAAAATTGGATTGTCTCTATTCAATCGAGAGGCATTAATTTTTTTTTCCAATGTATAGAGAGTGCAATTAAGAAAGGTTTTTTTTTATTGAGGCTAATCTTTGGGTTGAAAAGCTTAATTCTCCAAATTTTGGGGTCCTGAAATTAATTCTAGGTGGGGTTTTGCCTGAGGGAGCAAATGGACATTATGCACCCACAGGAGTACAATATCTTTTGGCCTTAGTTTTAGGTAAAAATTTATATGAGGTTGCAACCCTATACTTGATGAAGTAAGGTGCACCTCAAAACGTTTCTAGAAGAGAATGTTCCCACATTGGACGACCCTCTAATTGATCATCTCGACCTCGAGATGTGTGTACATAAAGAAAAAAAGAATTTCAAGTCCTTAAAATATTATATTTTATGATAAATTATGTGAGCCGTCTGTTTTCAAGATTTTCAAATATTTATAAATATATTCGATTTGTACTATTTTTGAAAAATTCAATTTTATAATTAAGTGTAACAATAGATATTCAAGTGTTTCCCATACTTAAAATATATCTCCAAGTAA